GTGGTTACCTTTGTTGATTGAACCCCGGGGGATGATTAAACTGTGATTGTGGAGTTATGAAATGATTTCCTCCATAACTGAGATTAGGATGATCTCTAAATCCAGGATTATATGTGTTAGCATATGGATCATATCTTTATCTCTGTTGCATTGGAAATTCTCCAATGGCATTCGCTTGCTCTGAGGCTTCTTCTTGTAGTGTCGGGCATGCCTCAGTAGAATGTCCTACAATAGAACAAATCCCGCACACTTTTACTTGTTGCATTGTCCCAAGTGTCATTTGTTGCACAAGCGATGTAAGATTGGCTAATTGTCATTCAATTTGAGATGTTGCTCCTACCTCACTTCCTTGCTTGATCGGTGCTTCTTCTCTACTACCAAATTGTTGTGAGTTTGCGGCCATGATGGCTATCAAATCCCTAGCAACTGTCGGTGTTTTATCCATTAAAGCTCCTCCACTGGCCGCATCAATCATACTTCTCTCCATCGGGAGCAATTCTTCGTAGAAGTATTGTAGAAGTAATTGCTCACTGATTTGGTGGTTTGGGCAACTAGCACATAGCCTTTTGAGTCTCTCCCAATACTTATATAGATTTTTCCCTTGAAATTGTCGAATGCTACATATTTCTTTCCTGATGTTTGTAGCCTTTGAAGTTGGGAAATACCTCTCCAATAAGAGCTTTTGAATTTCATTCCACATGGTAATAAGACCGGCCGGTAAATAATAGAGCCATTCCTTAGCAGTGTCTGTAAGAGAGAAAGAGAATGCACGCAATTTCACTTGCTCTTCCTATATACTCATCGGTTTCATGCTTGAGCAAACTACATGAAACTCTTTCAAATGCTTATTTGGATCCTCTTTGGCGAATCAATGAAATGTGGGAAGTAGATGAATTATCTCAGACTTTAGTTCAAATTCCACCCCCACTTGGGGATATTGAATGCATAAAGGTTGTTGAACAAAAGTTGGAGCTACAGGTTCCTTTAAGGTCCGATTTGCATCCGTCATTTCGGGCTCTATGTGTTCGGAGTCACTTGAGGATTCAATGCTCAATCGCCTTAGATGTCTAGTTGGAGAAATGTCTTCTCCACTTTCCGATGTGTCAGCCTCTTTTCTTGATCTTAGGTTGTAGTGTGTTATAGACTTTTTGCTCATTCACAGCCTAAATGACAAAGAAAATAACAAAAATAAATAGAAAAACAACAAAAAGAAAAATATTGCAATTAACAAATTGATAAAACAATCCCGGCGACATGGCGCTAAAATTAATACGTTACAAATCACGTTCCAATTAATTTTCCTTACTTAACTTAAATGTGTCATCTTAAATAGTATTATGGCAAGTAAGGGTCATTTCCCGCATATGATTGATTCAATTATATCAATTGCGTACTAAAAAGTAAAATTAATAATAATATACGAAATATATTAAATGGGGGGCTTTTGTTTGTTGAACTAAAGAAAGCGATAAATTTAAATTAGAAAAGACTTGAAATTTGAAATAAACAAATTGGTTCTTGATTGAATGTGAGAAAATGTGATTGGGGGATATTTCGCCGTCACAAGAATGATTTTCATGTCATTAATCACAATAGATTTTCGTTTTCAAGATTAACAACAATTCGAGAATAATTACAAGCTCAATTACCTCAATCTCTTCTTACATGTTAATCGAATAAAACAAGCTCTTTACTCAACCCTATTAATTAAACAACTTAGAACAAGCTCTCTAGATTTAATTTAACAAACGCATTACGACAAAAGAGATGAATTGAATTAAGGGTAAACTTGCAAGCTCGGTTTACTAACTTAAGTGTTAATCCACATACATTCAATTGAAAATTCTTCATAATCTATCGAAATATAATTGCTACTTGGTTTTAGAATCAATAGCTATTACGTACTACTAATTCCAAAATAGCATTCATCGAAACAATTTAATCATTTAGTTGTACACCTAAACAATCAAGAAGAGCAAAATAAACATTTAATACAATGGATTAATCACATTAATCAAGAGAATTATAAAGCACAAATTAATTGAAAATCATAACTCGGGTTTGAAATAATCCCCAATCAGAAATATAATTAGTTACCCATGAAATATTCACAAATAACTAACAATTTCTTACAAAACATTGATGGAAAAAGTGAAAAGAAAAACTTACTGATAAAGAGAGAAATTGTAGAAAATCCTCCAATATCAATGGGTTATCTTCTCCAAACTAATGCACCATCTCGATGTTTCAAACTTCCCCAAAATGTCTAAGAAAATATAGGTGAAAGGAAAAGGAAAAAGAAAGAAAACAAAAGGCAAGAAGAAGAAGAAGAACCAACTGCTTCCCTGGAGTTCCAAGAATAAAAATCTTGTGTTTGGTTGAATGTTTTAACCTAAAATCTAAAGGAAATTGCAGCATTGGTCCTTGGAATTTTGAAAACAATTAAAAACGGCTCGGATGGCGCCTAGGCGCCGGAACAATGGCGCTTGGGCGCCAAAGTTTTTGTTTTCTGTTCGGAGTGCCCAACTCGCTAATTTATTTATTTATTTATTTTTTTAAAGAGAAACATCCTCTTTCAACATTTCATGCTTCCTTTATCTTTTTCGTCTTTTCTCGCATAAATACTTTTTAATCATTGTTCAAAGTTGGGTTTTCATCTACACAATAAAAATAACTAAATTAAGTAATAAAACGCTAATGAAACTCACAAATATCTAAGTTTAATGACCCGGAATTGTACAAAAACCCGCACTTATCAATATACATAATAAAATATTTTTCTCGTAAATCCAATTTTTTTTAATAATTTTTAACCATATGTTCTTTAAAAAATCACTATTCAAAATAGCATTTTTTTTCCTCACCGTCAAACGGGGGCTAAGATATAAACTGGTTTCAACTAAAGAAAGTGCATCTGTGTTCATTCCTAGAAGGTTTACATGGTATTCCACCCATCTTTTCAATATTTTTACTCAATTTGTATACTGTGTACAACAACGTATAACATGGAGAATTATTTCAGGTTGGACATAATAATTCATAACCAAATATGATGGAATTTCAACACAACACATTGATGACACTCAACCAAGACTTGTACTAACGATCCTTTTGGCATCACTTTTATATTCTATAGGAGAGGTTTCTCAAGAAATCTATCTTAATTTTTGTTTGAAAACTAATTTTTAAAAAAGCTTCCTATTTCAGATATGATTTTATAGAGGAAATCACATCTTTTATAAAATTAGTCAAACGTGTTCAAAAGCAACTTTTGAATCTTAAAAGCCATGTTGAAGATCCTAAGAGTAGCTTTGAAGTATTAAGACATGATATCCTACCTTTACACAAGAAAAGTGACAACATGGAAATCAAGAACTTCCAAATTTGTTAGGAGATTGGATGTCTTGTCTGGTTTTTCTGTCTCTTTAATTATTTTTTTCTAATAAAATTTTGAGACCTCCCTAACATAAAAAATGACAATCTTTTGAAGAAAATGAGGCTCCTTAAATTCATAGTTGGCCAAAAGTAGTTTCAAAGATGTTGATCCCGTTTTCCGTAATGGCTACGTGGACAACAGATATTGGGTCCAATTGCGCCACACAAGCAAATTTCAGCACATTTTGATATGAGATTCAGTTGGAGATATGTGTTAGTTATATACGTAGGAGATGCTTTACAATACGAGACAAAAATGTTCGAGCATCGACTATATTATCAAAGATGGCTGTATATAAACCACCAATTATGGATAACTTGATCAAAATGAAGACAAATCTAAATCGAGCATATGAATATTTGGAAGGACAAGTTGAGTGCGGTTTTAAACATGTATATATTTCGTCCCTTCAAAATGTTACAAGAGTTGCTATTTATAGAGTTTTAATCGACGTGGTAGCCATTGGATTTGAACCACGTGGACTCATTTCATTAACTGAAGCTTCACATCACTTTCTGCCATATATTTAATACATTGACAACGGGTCAACCACCCCTATACTTTAAGCTAACAATTTTGACATTCATTAATATAAACGTTACGTCAATCATTCCTAGAGATACTTTGCAGATCCCTTAAAAAACAGCAGATGCTTCAGCTTAAAAGAGGGTTTTGAACGGAAAGGTTTGACTAAATGGAGATAGTGATTCAACATAAAAGAGCTTCAAAACAATGAGATAGTGCTTTAGCCATTAACTTCTTTATGTTGACCAATTGGTCTTTATTGGCTGTCAGATGTCTCCACGTGACTTTCACTAGGAGCTTTGAGTTACAAGACGTAATAATAGTTCTCCAAGTCTAGGCATGATTATTTTTGTAGTGGATGGATTTCTATTTTATATTGAAACAAAAATTTTGTTGGGACGGTTATTTTTAACAACAATAGTCCCCCAAGTCTAATTGTGAATATTTATATGAGAATTAGAATCTTAAAGTAGAATTATGATGAATTGTTCGAGGTACTTATTGAGGTTATTTTTTGTAACGCGGCACATTCCTTTACATTATTGTTGTACATAACTATCATGTTTACTCTAATGTCATATTTTAGGGGGGTGTATTCAATTGAGACTTTTAAAGACTTTGAAAGACTTTTTAAAGTGGGTGGCTTTTGTGGACTTTGTGAAATTTCAAGTGATTTCTATGGATTTGGTAGGAATTAATAAAAGTTTTTCTGGATTTGTGGAGACTTTCACTGGAGACTTTTAGAGACTTTGAAGAATTTTGAAGACTATTTATATTTTTTAAAAGAATATATTAAACATATATAATGTAATATGTTTAACAACTTCTTATATATTCAAATCGTCCACAACTCATATAATTGAAAATGTAAAGTAATAAATCGTATTTTTCATGTCAATTTTTTCCAAACAAAAAAAAAATATTTCGCCATAAAGTACTTTTTCATCTTATATCAAGTAGATTCACTAATAATAAAAAAATTTAAAAAAAATAGTATTTTAGTAATGATCAAAAAATAAAATAAAAAAACAAAAAAAAATCAAACATTTCCAACATCATTCCACATGTTCGTTGCTAGAGCAGCCCTCCATGCATTAGCATTCTCTCTTTCTTGTTCTTGACTCTCAAAAAATGGTCCAAAATCTTCCCCCTCATTAATCGAAAAAGATGATGAATCTTTGTTATCGGGTTCGACTGGAAATTCATCGGACCGACATTCTTTTCGGAGAAAATTGTGTAATCCTGCACAAGCTAATACGAGTTCGGCTTGTGTACGATATGAAAATGGAGGAGTTGTTTTGAAAATTGTGAATCTTGATTTAAATATACCAAATATCCTCTCAACTACGTTCCTTAAGGAAGCATGACGAAGATTAAACAACTCTTTTGTATTTTCAGGATCACGACCTTGACCGGCAAAATCTTGAAGATGATAACAGACACCTCGAAAAGGAGTTAAAAACTGACGTCGATTTGGAAATCCACAGTCTCCCAAAAAATATTTACCTGAATATATAATACTTGTAAAGTTAACAAGTAATTACGAAACAATAAAATAAAAGAAAAAATGAAACAATAAAGTTGTAACTTGTGGCACTTTAAGTCCATTTCTCCTTGTTAAAGCATCACTCAACACTTTAAAATCATATGCTGAACCCTCCCACCCACTAATCACGTATATAAATTCCAAATCAAAGTTACAAGCGGCCAAAACATTCTGAGAAATCGTTCCATAACGATTTTTGTAACTGCTTGTATCATGTCCAGTTACCATTGCTGGAATATGGGTACCATCAATAGCTCCAATGCAATCCTAAAAATAATAAAACAGTACAACGAATTCACGAGAACGCTAATGAAAACATAAAAGAAAAATTATAATACGTCTTATTTCATCACTTACTTTAAAGTAAGGATAAAATCTTGTACTTTCCCTTATTTTTTCTGGCACAACGAATCCCGGTTTGACCATCATATCTACAGCAAATTTGTTTAATGTCTATAAAATCTTGTTGAAACTTCGACTAGTAGTGAAATGTGATCGACCAAATTTTTGACAAATCAAGCAATATCTAGTATTCTGACCAACAATAAGTAGGAACGTTGCAAGCATTTCTTCAACACAAATATACCTAGTATCCTGTAAGGGTGTTTTTTCTCTAATGATATTGCTTAATTTTAGAAATATATCTGGATACATTCTATAAACTTGTCGAAAGTTTTCTGGATCCTCCTTTAATATTTTATGTATATAGTCATATCCATATCTAGTTTTTGGTCGTCTAGTTAGTGAACGTGTAATACGAGCACAATGCATATTATTTACAATATCATTTATCACATAGAGAATTGCTTGAATTGCCATCCATAAATACCGTCTGGTTTCATATAATGCTTCCTTATAGTCATCTTCTTCATTCTCATCCACTTCTTTTTCATGATCTTTATATATGTTAACATTAGACATTATATATATGGAAGTACCTAAACATAGAAGGAACAAAATTTAATACATAGACAAAGATAACGATAATGTCACGTAAAATGAATCAATTGTCATCAAATTAATAAAATATCAAAACAATACGACCAATAAATCAAACAAAAAAACAATTCAAAAACTTCAAAAGTTACTATCAATCATATCCAAAAAAAAAAAAAAAAACAAAGCCTCAATTTAATTTAAATGTTATCCATTTAGAACGTTCTTCGGGTGTCATGCTCAAGAACTCAAACTTTTTTGCTTTTGTATTAAGCAAATCAAGGACCTTGAAACGATCATCGTCATCCAAGTTTGGGATCTCCTTGATAATGTTCCAACAATTAGGCTCTCTGGTGTCAATTGATTCAATTGCTTGAGTGATCTTGCCAATTGTACTAGCAAGTTTGTCTATAACGTCTGATTGAGTACTTTTAGGCTCACATGAACTAGATTTTGCTTCAAATTCTATTCTACTTCGTTTTCGAATTGATGGGGGAACCTCTGAACTTATAAAATCTTGCTTATCGGTTAATATAAATGCTTCAGTATCAGGATCATACATGAAGTCGTCTATTAAACTGTCACTAACTCTTCTTTCTTCAGTATAGGAAGTTCTTGCATCAGTATCATCCCCTAATGCAATTGAGTGTGTCCCAACAGCTGTCCCACTTCCAACTGCAATTCTCAAATCCTCATAGTCTGCAAACGTATCTATGCGATAACTTTTATCTTCAGGATGTGACTATTAAAGAAAAAAATATGTATAAGTGCTAATATATGAATCATACACTTCACTAACCAATAACTCAAATTTCATATGTTTCTAAATCAAGTAATAAAGGAAACTCACCAAAAAGTAATCGTCCCATACTTCATCACTAGCAGTGAATTTCTTCGTCACATGATCCCATCCGAACCTAGAGTTATGACGCATAAGCTTAGAATACTTGTTGTACTGTTTTTTAAACCATTTCACACGACTTTTATGTTGGGCATAAGTCTTTCCAACCCCAAGTTTTTGGTTAAGATGAGGAAGTATATGTTTTTCTACAGTTATCTTGCTCAACAGACCATTACTATCACGCCAACCACGTGTGGCAGCATCAACCATGAGTTTTAAAAGCTCATTGCTTTCTTTCGATGTCCATTTCTCATATTTTTCGATACCTTTTACTTGAACCTTGTCATTTCCTTGTGTTGAATCTTCCATTAGAACTAGTGTCATATAATTAGAGAACAAATATTTAGGCAAATACAAAATGATATACAAAATGGGCAAAAAAAGGTAAAGCAAACATAGCTACTCGAGTTCCAAAAATGAACATATCAATATTTATGATGTTCATGTTAATAAGTAAATAAAATTTAGACCTGTTTTAGACTCGGAAATTCCCATCTCTTACTAGCCAGGGGTTCTAATCCCTATTCCAGAAGCCAGTAAATAAAATTTCACTTTCTATGTACTGGACCCACAATTTTAGACTTGTTTCTTTCTGTACTGTTAGTTCATTTCATGTTATGTAGCATACTCAGTTATACTTATCCAAGAATTTCAAGCAATAATCCTTACTACTACAGTTTTTACTTTCCATACTACCAGCTAAAATACAATAATCCGCACACCAATAGTAAAAAGGGGATAAACAGAGAGATTTCAGCATTGGAAAAATTTAAAAATACGAGAAACAATATGACATGTAAACATGCGTATGGCGTATGAAAACACTAGCAACCCAGATTTTAAATGAAATGCGAATGGGTAAAATTCAGCTGATAGATTACTCCCAATAGATAATTAACCATTGGATTTATGGATCAATTTGTGTGTATATGGATGGGGTTGTGAATCATATTCAACATTTGCTGCTTTGTTGCCTCTAGGTTCCGTCAATGTTTCATCCTTGACATTTGATAGTCACTAAACCCAGTTGAAGAATCAAGCCATTAAGATAAGTGCTTGAAGTTGGGTATGGGTACCATTAATGGACTTTAAAAAAAAAAAAAAAGATAACATATAATACAGGCAGAGTTGATAATTTATTTGATAAATAATTTGCAAGTTCTTTCACTTATAGATTTTACACAAATAAACTGATATACTATTATGCAGAACTAAACTGATGAATGTGCACATCTATTTCAGAGACATTAACATATTTATACGTTGAGAAACACATGTTGCATTTGAGGGTCCAATTTGTAATGGCTCTCAAGTGATAGGATGGCACGTGAATGATATGACAAAAAGATTTCGGAGATTCCATGCCGAGATGTCTGGTTTTGCTTTTAATAGTACTATTATTTGGGACCCAAAGAAATGGAACCAGCCTACACTTGAACCAATCAGGCACCTTGATACTGTTGAAGAAGGTTTCCAAGTGAGTCTCTCAGTACCACTTTGAATTCAGTAATTTTATCACTATATGGAATTTTTTTAATCCTAAAAGGGAAGGAAGAAGACTATAGGAAAGAACAGAGAAAAATGTGTTATCTGTATCAACACATTAAAAATCAAGAATTCAAATGAAAATAATACAAGAAGGCTGTGAATTGTATCGTTGGTAATTTATTTGGAAGGTTTCCAAGACATGAAGCACATGAAATTTGCATTAACTGAAACATTTATGCATGCAATCTCCTAGGTAGACCAGGACGATAGGCATGATAGGTTGTTTGGATCAACAAACAAAAAGGTTGAAGTAGAAATGGTTAAGCATGAAACCTTTTTTTTAAAGGAGAAAAGTGGCCTCTTAATGACTTCTATATAGTATGGGTCATTATTTCATATTTCATGACTCAAGAAATCACATGTTATATTTTCAACAATAAAATTTTAGCAGTCGCTATAACCACTAAACAAATTAAAAACTAGACCAAAGCCCTGTTGAAACATCCATCTAGACAGACATCTATCTACTATATAATTACTATAATAGCCAGACAAGCTGAAAGCCAAAACAGAATTTCTCTTGAAAGGAAGTGATCAGAAATACTGTTTAAGTAAATATTCATTACTAGAAAACAAGGCAATCCACATTGATGAGTCACATTCTTTTACAACTAGCGTATCTACGAGTTAACTACCAAGCATCATTAAATGAGAAAATGGTATGCATAGTATAAACTCCACTTGCTATTAATAATTATTACGAAGTCGTATATTACAATATCCTCGTTCAATCCCTCACTTTCCGCACTTTGCTTTTCTCCAAACATTTGCAAATATAGGAAATTGGTCTTGCTGGATCTTGATTATCTCAAAACATATAGAAAAGGCAAAAAATTTTATTTTTTTATTTTTATTTTTTTTTTGTGTTTCTCAAAGAGTAGTTTGAAATACTGCAGAAAGAAACCATCTTTTCACTCTGCAAAATATTACTAGTCAGAAATGAAAATTCGTGTCTTCCAAGGGCAAAAAGTCGAGATTGGGAAATTCGATTGTCCACAAATTTCTCCAAAACTAGTGAAATATCCATAAATAAAACAAAATACTCATAAAGGGAGAGAGAGAGAGGTGCAAGCGTGATTACCTGATTGAAGGAGATGGAGGAAAAACCCTAGAAGAAGAACAATCGACCGGCTTGTGAGAAATCTCTCCTTGGATGAGAGATTTTTGTTGTGAGAATTCTAGAGACGTTATCTACCAAAAGTCTCTGAAAGTCTACGAAAATATTAACTCCCCGAGAGTCTTTCTTTTATTGAATACCTCGAAGACCGGCTTGTGAGAAATCTCTCCTTGGATGAGAGATTTTTGTTGTGAGAATTCTAGGGACGTTATCTACCAAAAGTCTCTGAAAGTCTACGAAAATATTAACTCCCCGAGAGTCTTTCTTTTATTGAATACCTCGAAATTTATAGAGACTCTTATTAAGTTTTAATTGAATACCTCGAAATTTATAGAGACTTTTTAAAATTCTTTAAAATTCTCTATTGAATACACTCAAACTTTTAGAGAGTTTTTAAAAGTCTCAATTAAATACACCGAAACTTTTTAAATCTCCCAAAGTCTTTAAAAGTCACGATTGAATACACCCCCCTTAATGCTTTATTAATAAATTTAGATTTCTTAGGACTCAATATATTTTTAGGAAAATGTACCTTGACACACTAGACGATTGACAACATATTAAACTTAACTATAATATGTTTACACTAATGTCATATTCAATGCTTAATTAATAAATTTATATTTTTTAGGACTCAATATATTTTTAGGAAAATGTACCTTGACACACTAGACGATCAACAACATATTAAACTTAACTATAATATGCATACAATGTTAGTAAAATTTACAGTAAATTATGTTTTAATTCATTTATTTTACGTTATGGTATTTCGCAAGAATTGGACCAATTAATATGGTCAAGTCAAATTAGCAAAATCAGGGGGCCCAAAATTATTGAGTTCCTATATATATATTGAAACCTAATCTTACACGTTTCATAATAAGGTAAAAAGAATTTTCCTTTATGCCTCCAAAACGGATT